GAATATCAAATCTCCAAAACATCATACGAGAGACTCCACATATTTCAAAAAGAGAAGAAAAACAAACAAATATGAAATAAAGAAAGAGAGAGAGGATGAAAAATAAACAAGCAATAAAAAGGGGAGAAAGAAAAAAAGAGAGAAAGGACAAAAAATAAAAACAAAAAGAAAAGAAAAGAATAAAAAGGAAGAAAGAAAAAAAAATCCTAAAAAAGAAAGAAAAAAAAGGCATAAAAATCCAGAAAGAAAACAAGAACAACAAAAAAAGAGGAAAAAAAAAAACTAAAAATAAAAAAATAGAAAAGGGGGAGAGGGGAATAAAATCGAGAAATGTCACGTACAATTAAAACACTCCCATTTCAGCACCGACGGAGCAGAAACGTCTCTCTCTCTCTCAGAAGCCCATTTCCAAACTTAACCATTTCCTAACCTACCTCATCGCGCTGAGGTGAGTAAACAGCTGTTGTTAACATCTCCATTTCCATCCCTTTGAAACATATGCCGAAATATGCATACGGCCATACATTAAAGGACTCATACACACACTTACATACGTACATGCATACATCATCATCGTCACTGGTGTCATCTTTCTTTTTTTTTTCTCTCTCTCTCTATCATATATATATATATATATATATATATATATATATATATATATATATATATATATGTATATATATATATATATATATATATATATATATATATATATATATATATGATATATTTGATATATTCTTCTTCCTCTTCCTCTCCCTTTTTCCTCTCCTCCATCTTCTTCCTTTTCCTCTCTGTTTACCACTTCTTCCACTTAATTTTCTTCTTCTCCTTCTCCTCCTACTCTTCTCCTTCTCCTTTTCCTTTTTCTTCCTTTTTTTCTTCTTCTTCTTTTTCTTCTCCTCCTCCTCCTCCTCCTCCTCCTTCTCCTCCTCCTCCTCCTCCTCCTCCTCCTCTTCCTCCTTCATCTCCTCCTCCATCAAAACAACCTCATCATCCCCCGCGCTGTTTTCTCCTTCCTTCCACTTTAAACGTTTCAACACTAATAAAAGAAACATGACACAGATGCACGATTAAACAACTATCTCTTCGCACCCAAAATGTCAAGAGCCGAAAATCGAAGCCAAAAACCGAATTTCGAAGCTTCAAAAAAAACAACAACAACAACAAAAAAAAAACGAGACCAAAGATGAGGTCGGAGTCACAAGCCAAGTTCGAAGCTTCTGAGACTTGAAAACGCGAATCTTTTGAAAACGTCGGGAATAATAAAAAAAGAAAAAAAAAAAGAGAAAAGAAAAGGGGGAAAAAAGGTAAAAAATAGTGAATTCTAAATGAAATAGTTTCATTAAATCGAAACCGACTGAAACATATGTAGTGCTTCACTTCACGGGAAACACGAGATTTGAGTTTCTGTTCGAATAGGGGGTGGTGGTGGGGATGGGAGGGGTGGGGGTGAGGGGGGTGATGGGAGAGGGGGGTGAGGGGGGTAGGGTGGTAGTGGGGGTAGGGGGTGAGGGTGGTGATAGGGGGGGAGGGGGGATATTTCAGTGGGGCTGCTGTAACGGTCGTCGCTAGCAGTGTACCCAGTTTATTTCTGCTTACCAAGCGTCCGGTCTCCTATCCCCCCTCCTCCCTCCTCCCCCTCCCCCTCCCACCCTCCTCCCGCACTTCCATTCTCTCTTTTGAAACATTTCGAAAGAGTCAAACGCTTTTCAGTGGAAACAATATGACTGTTTGTCTGTCTGTGTCTGTATCTCTCATTCTCTCATTCTCTCTCTCTCTCTCTCTCTTTCCATCCCTCTTTGTATTCCTTCCATCCTCCTTCCTTCCTTTTACCTTTTCCTCTCTCTTCCTTTCTTCCATACTTCCTCTATCTTCCATCCTTTCTTCCTTGACTCTCTCCCTCTCCATTTCTTCCCTTCACCCTCTCACCTCCTCCTTCCTTCCTACCTTCCCTCTCCCTTCTTCTTTTCCTCCCTTCCTTCTTCCTCCCCTTCATTCTCTCTTCCTTCCTTCCCTTCGCCTTCTCCTTTTTATCTTCTTCCCACCCTTCCTTCCTCCTTACTCTTCGGCCTCTCCCTCTTCCTTTCCTCCCTTCGCCTTCTCCCTCATCCTTTCCTCCCTTCGCCTTCTCCCTCCTTCTCTTCCTCCCCTCCTCCTTTTCCTCCCCTCCTCCTTTACTTCTCCTCCTCCTCCTTTTCTTCTCCTCCTCCTCCTTTTCCTCCCTTCCTTCCCTTCCTCTCCTCCTCCTCCTTTTCCTCCCTTCCTCCCTCCTCCTTTTCCTCCCCTCCTCCTTCTTTTCTTCTCCTCCTCCTTTTCCTCCCTTCCTCCTTCTCTTCCTCCCTTCCTCCTTCTTTTCCTCTCCTCCTCCTTTTCCTCTCCTCCTTCTTATCTTCTTTCCCTCCTTCCCCTTTCGCCCAACCCGCAAATCTTTGTCTGTCCTCACCGGGGCGTGTCTTAGCCTCAGTTCTACCCCATCACGGCGCCTCCTTCAGCAAAATGACATCTCTTTTGGCTGAAAACAAATCCCCCCCCCCTCTTCCTTTCCTTTCCTTTCTCTCCCTTCGTTCCCTTTCCCCCTCTCTTTTTCTTTCCTCGCCTTCCCCCCGTCTTTATAAATAAATGAATAAATAAAATAATGATGATAAAAAAAATAAATAAAAAGTAGCAAATAAAAAAAAATATTTTGTCCCCCCCCTTTATAAAATCTGACAAAGACTCTCTCTCTCTCTCTCTTTTACGTCCTCCCTCTCCCTCTCCCCCCCTTTTTTAAATTGAAACAAACCCCCTTTTCCGCCTCTCCCCTCCCCCCCCTTTAAATTGAGACAAAACCCTTCCCTCCCCCTCCCCCCTCCCCCCCTTAAACTAGAATCAATTATATCCTTGCTGACACAGACATCCTGCAATGCGAGAGCCTCTTCCTCATCTAGACTGTGAAAGGGAGGTGAATCCTTAGAAATGGGGACGGGGGGGAGGGGGTAGGGGGGGTTAGGAAGAGGAAGATTCCTTTCTTTTCTTCTTGTCTAAGACTGGGGGTGGGGGTAGGGGGAAGGGGGGCGTGTCTTAGGATTTCAACGTTTACAATCTCTTCCAGTGCTTGGATAATTTGCTTGAGACAAACACTCGCCTTTTTCTTCTTCTCTTCCTTTTCTTCCTTTATTCCTTCCTTTTCCCTTTTTTTTTCTTTCTTTTCTTGCTTTCTGTCTTGTTTCGTGAGCATGTCGTGAAGGTTTTCCTCTATTTATCTTTTTTTCCCTTTTCTTTTAGCGTATGCCACTTTCTGAAAGTCAGTCTCTCTCTCTCTCTTTCTCTCTCTCTCTTCTTCTTCTTCTTCTCTCTCTCTCTCTCTCTCTCTCTCTCTCTCTCTCTCTCTCTCTCTCTTCTATTTCCTCAACGTTTATCGAGCTCTGAAACCTCACCAACTTAAAATATTTTCTGACATCTTCCCCTCTGCATAAACATAGTGAACTGAACCCCTCCCTCTGTAAGACCATATAATAAAATTTCCTTTACCCCCCCCCCCCCCCCAGCGTACCACATACTGAAACCCTCTCCCTTATACCCATCTTCCTTTCTTCCTCACTTTTCCCCAATACGCATCCTCTTCCTCATATAACTCTTCCTCTTCTTCTTCTTCTTCCTCCTCCTACTTTTCCTCTCCCTTCTCCTCCACCTCTTCCTTCACTTCCTCCTCTTCCTCCTAACTCTTCCTTCTCCAACTCTTCTTCCGCTATTTCTTCCTACTACTCTTCCTTCCTCCTCTGCCTCGTACTCTTCCTCTCCCTTCTCCTACTCCTCTTCTTCTTTTTCTTCCTCCTCCTCCTCCTCTTCTTCCTCTTCCTACTCTTCCTCCTCCCACTCTTTCTCTTCCTACTTTTCCTCCTCCTCCTCCTCTTCCTCTTCCTACTCTTCCTACTCTTCCTCCTCCTTCCTCCTCCTCCTCCTCCCCAACCCGGGTGAAAATTCCCACACTCTCTCCCCGAAACAGCCATTCCACGGTCGCTCTGCCATCCATCCATTAACGGAAACACTAGAAAAAAAAGAGAGGAAAAAAAAAATGGCGTTTGGGTGGAGGGTTGGGAGGAAAGTGATGGGAGGAGAGAGAGCGAGAGAAAAAAAAAAAAAACGAAAAAAAAGGAAAATGAAACGGGGAAAAAAAAAAAAATCTAACTCGGACGGGAATGTTGCAACAGTTGGACCCATCCTCCCTATGAAGCAAGCAAACAAGCATGACAATGGCAAACAGTCCGGCGTTGCTTTTTCCTGACCGCCGTCACCGCCGCTGCCGCCACCGCCGCCGCCCGCCGCCGCCCGCCCGCCCGCTCGCCCGCTCGTCCTCCCAGCCAAAAGAATCGACACAGACAGACAGACACAGACAGACAGACAGATACAGACAAATACACACACAAGAATAAGTTGATTGATTTTTTTTATGAACACTTTTCGTTGCACTTGAGTATTTTTATGCGTGTTCTTTTTTTTTTCTTTTTTTTTAGCGAAGCATTGTTAGAAGCCATATCTGGTGATTTTGACTTCAGCGAATCACGCCAGATTGTATTTTATTTTTCACTACCTTTAGACACAATCGAGATACGTTTTACATGGATTTCTAATATATTCTTACATGTGTAGAAGCGAATAGTTTACATAACACATAAACACGCATATGTACTAGTATATATGCACTATACAGAGATATAAATGAATACAGCGTATATATATATATGCATTAAAATATAACGAATGTTACACCTCTCGTAAAATGAAGTTTCATCATTCCAGATATGAATAATTACAGTACTGAGTAATATTTCAAAGCGCACAAAACACACAGCTTTTGTTTTTTTTTCTTTCTTTCCACTCCGAGAGACAAACATCACAAAGCAACAAAGCAAACGAGACAGCGACTTTGTGAAGGGCGGGGGGGGGGGGGCAGCCGAGGCCATAATGATTCATCACAAAGCCAAACTTAAACAGCATTTCACATGCCTGGCGCTTACCTGATCTGCATTTGTGGTGATTACGTGCAACAGTTAGGTCCTGCCACACCTCTCTACTCCTCCCTCTCTCCCCCCCCTTCTACTCCCTCTCTTTCTCTCTCTCTCTACTCCCTCCCCCTTTTCAGTCTACCCCTCTGGCACGGGGAGGCGAAAGAGGGGGGGGGCGCGTTGCAGGAGGTCTCTTGCAACGCAGGGAGGAGGAGGGGGATGGGGGAAAGGGGAGGGGGATGATGACGGCCTCTGTGGTGACGTGGCTTGCTTGCTTGCTTGCCTGCCTGCATGGTCTTGCCTCACGGAGACGGTAAGGTCAGGCCGCAGTGGTCAAATGTGGAGTGCCAAACCCGCAGACTTTTTCAGCGGGCGAGTCTGCCTTTCCGACACACACACGTCCTCGCCGCCCGCCCGCGCGCCCGAACGCCGTGCCGTCGCGGGCGGCCTGGCGATGGAGTTGTGGGCGTAGCGACGTCTACAAGAGAGGTCTTTTGGCACTGTCGTTTTTCCTCCAAGTCAGCCATGGCTTCCGGGCACTCGAAGATGGGGGGGGGGGATCGGTCCGAAATCTGGGGGGGAGGGGGACGATTTGGTCGTGTCATGGAAAGACTTAAAAAAAAAGATCCGCGTGAATGTGAAAGGAGGGGATTAAGGAGAGGAGAGGGAAAGGGGGGGAGGGTGTTAAAAGAAGGGGGGGAGGTAAACCTTGGTGAACTCTGCTGAATTCGGCGAATTAAAATCAACTTTGGTGACGTTTTCGCTCGTCTAAGCCTACAAACTATTTTTAAAAATCTTATACACACTAAATCCGCATCTATCAGATAAATAAACTTAAATAATACTATAAAAAAAACCTGACTACCACCGCTTCACAAACAATGCACTAGGATTTTTTTTTCAAAGTACAGCAAAATAATGAAACTGATACAGATCACTTAATACGCACGAAAGTTGAACACTCAAATGCATTAAAATTCAACAGAACTACAACTTTCAAAAGTACCACATGTACTCTTGCAAAATAATAATAATAATAATAATAATAAATATATACAGATAGGTACAATACCTCAGTGAGTATGCATCACAATGACTGTCAAATTTTAACTTAGAACCGAGACACCAAAGAACATATGAATAAACAATTTTAGAAATAACAAACTTATAAAACAATATTAAAACAGAACGAATCACACTCCCTATGAATTTAGACCTAACTCGGGGGCGCACATGGAGTAGAACTTACCAGGAATTTGTTTCTTTTTTTTTTTCTTATAATATGAATACAGCAGAGGTAGGGGGGAGGGGGTGTACCTTTTTCGAAAGGGGGGAGGGGAGGGGCAGGCACGAGGGAAGGGAGAGGTACAAAGGGGAGGAATATTTTTTCGGGGTTATTCGTAAAATGATCGGATTTTTGAGGGTGAAAGGGTGAAAGGGGGGGAGGTTGTATGTTGGGGGGTGGGGGTGAGAGGGGAAGGGGGTGATGGGAACTCACTCTTTCCGAACAATTCCGCAGGCGATTTGACGTCGACCGATGACGGGGCGGATGGGAGACGAACCGCAGAGAGAAGACGACGACGAAACGGACGAACGGACAGAATAAAAAAGAAAAGAAAAGAGAGAAAATAACAAAAGACGAAAGACAAAGAACAAGTGAGAGTGAGAGAGAGACAGAAAAAAGACAGGGAATAACAAAGAATAAATAATAAATAAAAAGAAACCAGCCGGACGCTCTTTCCGGACGGGACGCGCACGCAAAGTCCCCCCAAAAAAGAAAAAGAAAGAGAGAGAGAGAGAGAGAGAGAGACGTATGTGTGGGGGAGAGAGAGAGGAGGGAGAGAGAGAGAGAGAGCCTCGCCAGCACCCGAGAGCGCAGCGACCGTACACTCTCTCGTGGCGCCGTCCGCAACTAGACTGCGGACCGCTCGCGTCTCCAACTGCGGACTCGAAGCGAAGGGCGCCGGCCGGTGAGGGGAGCGAGTTGCCAGGGGTCGCCGGAAAGCAACACTCGCCCATGTGATGCAATAATTTCATCTTTGATTAACTTGGCATCATTGTGAATCGGTTTATTTAGCATTGTAATGACCGGCGGAAGAGAGAGAGAGAGAGAGAGAGGAAGAGAGAGGGGAGAGAGAGAGAGAGAGAGAGAGAGAGAGAGAGAGAGAGAGAGAGAGAGAGAGAGAGAGAGAGAGAGAGAGAGAGAGAGGGAGAGAGAGGAAGAGAGAGGGAGAGAGAGAGAGGGGGAACGAAAGAGTAGGAGAGGGAGGAAGAAAAGTAGAGAGAAGAAAGAGAGGGAGAGAGAGAGAGAGGGGGGGAGAGAGAGAGGGAGAGAAAGGCAGAGAAAGTGTGAGAGAGAGAGAGAGAGAGAGAGAGAGAGAGAGAGAGAGAGAGAGAGAGAGAGAGAGAGAGAGAGGAGGAAACGAAGAGTAGGAGAAGGAGGAACGAAAGAGTAGAGAGAAGAAAGAGAGAGAGAGAGAGAGAGAGAGAGAGAGAGAGAGAGAGAGAGAGAGAGAGAGAGAGAGAGAGAGAGAGAGAGAGAGAGGAAGAGGAGGAGGAGAGGAGGAGGTAGGGGGAAGGGGGGAGGGGGGGAAATAGGGTGCGTGTTGATTCCGTAGGTGTGGTTGGCTTGAATTGTTCATTTTTATTTGTGTTTTTATTTTCATTTTCACTGGGAGGGGGAGGAGGGGGAGGGGGGGAAGGGGTAGGAGGGGGTGAGGAAAGGGGTAAGAGGAAGGGGGAAGGGGGAAAGGGGGAGGAGGGGGGAGGGGGTTGAATTCAGTCGTTCATCATGGTGGTACAATCATATTTAACAAGAGAGAAGGGGGGGTGGGGGAGCAGAGAAGAAATAGGGGGGGGGGGGCTAGAATGAGGGGGGTACGAAAAATGGAAGAGGGGGGGAGTGGATCATGTTTCTTCGTGTTCTTCACGCGGGGGAGAAGGGGGAAGAGGAGGAGGAGGAGGAGTAGGAGGAGGACGAGTAGGAGGAGGAGTAGGAGGAGGAGGAGGAGGAGGAGGAGGAAGAGAGGAAGAGGAGGAGGAGGAGGAAGAGGAAGAAGGAAGAGGAGGAGGAGGAGGAAGGAGGAGAGGAAAATGAGGAGGAGGAAGAGGAGAAGGAGGAGGAGGAAGGAGGAGGAGAAGAGGAGGAGGAGGAGGAGGAGAAGGAGGAGGAGGAGGAGAAGTAGGAGGAGGAGGAAAATGAGGAGGAGAAGTAGGAGGAGGAGGAAAATGAGGAGGAGGTGAGGAGGAGGAGGAGGAGGAAGAGGAGAACAAAGAGGAGGAGCAGGAGGAGGAGGAGGAGGAGCAGGAGGAGGAAGAGGATGAGGATGAGGAGCAGGAGGAGGAGGAGGAGGGGCAGAAGTAGGAGGAGGAGGAGAAGGAGGAGGAGGAAGAAGAGAACGAAGAGGAAGAGGAGGAGGAGCAGGAGGAGGAGAAGGAAGGAGGAGGAGGAGGAGGAGGAGGAGGAGGAGGAGGAGGAGCAGGAGGAGGAAGAGGAGGAGGAGGAGAATGAGGAGGAGGAGGAGAAAGAGGAGGAGGAGCAGGAAGATGGAGAGAAAGGAGAGGGGGAAGTGTGTAACGGGAATAAGGAGAGGGCAAAGAGGAGACGAGAGGAGGGGAGAGGAGGAGGAGGGGGGAAGGGGGTCACGAAGGGGGAAATGGGTGTGCCCTTCGTCGACACCATCAACGCCCCCTCCCTCTCCCTTACCACCTCCCCCTCCCCCCTTACCCCACCCTTAAAAAAGAACGGCCGCGCCATCCGTGATCGTCAGGCCATTATCAATAAACTCCGTCCTCATTCTCCCCTCCTCTTCTCCCCTTCCCTTCCTTCATTCCCCTCCCCCCCCTCCCTTCATTCTTCTCCACTCCCTCCATCACCCTCCCCATCCCTAATCTTTCTCCTCTTCCCTCCTTCTTTCTCCACCCCTTCCCTATACTTATCTTCCTCCTTTACTCTCTTCTTCTCTATCCTCATCTTCCTCTTTTTCTCTTCTCTTCTTCCTCCTTCCTTCTCCTCCCTTCCCTCATCTTCCTCCTTTCCCTTCCCCTTCCTTCCTTCCTCCTTCCTTTACCCCTTCCCTATCCTCATCTTCCTCTTTTCCTCTTCTCTTCCCGTTTTCCTTTTCCTTTCTTCTCTTCTCCTCCCTTTCCTTATTTCCATCCCTTCATTTTCTCTCCCTATTCACTCCTTCCTTTTCTTTCCTCTTCCTCCTCTCTCCTTCGGCCCCTCTTTTCTCCGTTTAATCATCCTCCTTCCCCTACTTTTCTTCCTTCCTTCTCCCCTACCCCCCCCCCTCCTCTTCCTTCTTCTCCTCTTCTTCCTTACCCATCTCGTATCTTTCTCGCTTCCCTCCTCTTCCTTCATCCCTTCCTCTGTTCTTCGCTTCTTCCCTCCCCCTTTTCTTCATTCATTTCTCCTCCTTTTCTTCCTCCTTTCCCTCCCTTCCTCTTCCTTCATCTCTTCCCCTCCCGTTCCTCCTTCCCTTCCCCCCTCTTTCTCCCCCTATCCCCTCCCTTCCTTCCCTTTCCTTCCCCCCTTTTCCTCCCTTTCCTCTATTTCTCCCTCCCCTTCCCCCTCTTCCTCCCTTTTCTTCCTCTCCTCCCCTCCTCTTCATCCCTCCCTTCCCCCCTCTTTCACCCCTTCTTCCTTCCCCTTTCCATCCCCTCCCACCTTCCCTCCCATCCTCTTCCTCCCTTTTCCTTCCCTCCCTCCCTCCCTCCCTTCCGTCCTCTTCCTCCCTTTCCCCTCCCTTCCCACCCTCCCTCCCTTCATCCCTCCCTCCCTCCCTTCCGTCCTCTTCCTCCCTTTCCCCTCCCTTCCCTCCCTCCCTCCCCTTCCGTCCTCTTCCGCCCCTTCCCCTCCCTTCCCACCCTCCCTTCCTCCCTCCCTCCCTCCCTCCCTTCCGTCCTCTTCCTCCCTTTCCCCTCCCTTCCCTCCCTCCCTCCCTCCCTTCCGTCCTCTTCCTCCCTTTCCCCTCCCTTCCCACCCTCCCTCCCTCCCTGCCTCCCTCCCTCCCCTTCCGTCCTCTTCTGCCCCTTCCCCTCCCTTCCTCCCTCCCTCCCTCCCTCCCTTCCGTCCTCTTCCTCCCTTTCCCCTCCCTTCCCTCCCTCCCCTTCCGTCCTCTTCCGCCCCTTCCCTTCCCCTCCCTCCCTCCCTCCCCCCCGTAAGCCTTGCACTGCATTTTGCACCGAACCTCTCCAACGGTAACGCCACTGCCTCCTGACCTTGCGACCTTTAAGCCAAACCTCTCCCTCCCCCCTCCCCCCACCCTCTTCCTCCCCACCCTCCCCCACCCTCTCTCCTCCCTCCACTCCCCCTTCCCCATCCCCTCTTTGCCCCCCCCACCTCTCCTCCCTCCTCTAACCTCCCTCTCTCCTTCCCTCTCTCTCCCCTCCCTCCCTCCCCCTTCTCTCGGTCCTCTTTCCTCTCCTTCTACCGTTCTCTCTCTCTCTCTCTCTCTCTCTCTCTCTTCCCTTTCTTCTCTTTACCTTTCTCTCCTTCCATCTATTCCATTCTCTCTCTTTCCTTCTCTTCTCTTCTCTCTCTCTCTCTTTCGCTTACCTCTCTCTTTTTCCCTTTCTTCCCTCTTCCTTTCTCTCATCTCCTTTCATCTCGCTCCCTCTTATCCTCTCTGTTTACGTTCACTTTCTTTTTTTAATCTCCCCCCCCCCAACACACGCACGCACACACACACACCGAGACTAAATTCAAGTTCTTTCTCTGTGTCCTTTTTCTCTATCCTTTTCACTAATTTTCTCGTCCATTAATTTATTCTATACTATTCGCTAATCTGTATTATTTTCTATTCTCTTATCATTCTCTCTTCTCGTTTCTTCTCTCTTCTCTTCTTATCGCATTCTCTCTTCTCTTCTCATCTCATTCTCTCTTCTCTTTCCATTTCCTTCGCTATTATCTGTTCCTGTCTCTTCACTCGTATCATCTCATCTCGTCTTCTGTTTTCTACCCTTTCCTTTCTACCCTTTATTATTCTCTCTTTCTCTTCTACCCCCCCTCCCCATCCCTCTCCTCATAACTCGTCTATCCACTATTCGCACTTCGCACGTTCATTATTCGCACTCAAACCGTGTTCCTGCTCATTTGTGAAGAAGCGTTCTTCAACCTTTTGCCCCATTTCTCTTCTACCATTCCTCTCTCACTTCCCTTCTATCATTCTCTCTGCCACTTACCTTCTACCATTTTCTCCCCCACATCCCCCATTCCTCCCTCTCTCTCTCTCTCTCTTCTTCACACAACCCGTCTATCCACTATTCGCACTCCTGTTCGTTATTCGCACTCAGACTCAAACTGTGTTCCTGCTCATTTTCGAACAATCGTTCTTCAACCTTTTGCCCCACTTCTCTTCTACCATTCCTCCATCCCTCCTTCTCTATCTCTCTCTCTCTCTCTTCTTCATACAACTCGCCCATTGACTATTCGCACTCTCGCTCGTTATTCGCACTCCAACTCCAACCGTGTTCCTGCTCACTGGCGAACGATCCTCAACTTTTTTTCCCCCACTTCTCTTCTACCATTCCTCCCCATCCCTCCTTCTCTCTCTCTCTCTCTCTCTCCCTCTCTCTCTCTCCCTTTCTCTCTCTCTCTCTCTCTCTCTCTCTCTCTCTCTCTCTCTCTCTCTCTCTCTCTCTCTCTCTCTCTCTTATTCACACAACTCGCCCATTGACTATTCGCACTCTCGCTCGTTATTCGCACTCCAACTCCAACCCGTGAATTTCCCAAGAGTCAAAAACTACGGGACTAACACTTGCTGATTGCCACTTCCGCTGGAAATTCGTTGTTATTTTTTTTATGTGTCAGTTTTTAAGATTTTAAGATTTATTTATTTATTCATTTATTATTGTTTTTTTATTTAATAGGTCTGGTTCTTGAAATGATGACGTAAAAAAAAAAGAATAAATGGGTATTCTCGTATCTGTGG